ACGAAACGTCAGGAAGAAATTCCCATAGACCACGGCTTCAAAGCCCGGAAAACATTTCTAAATGTGATTTAACCGGCCGTGAAAGCCTTCATAGTCTGATAATAGAGAACTCTTTAGCTCAAAAGGCTTGTTATACAGGGTGTTTGAACCCAGCTGCCATGTGATTTATCAAGTTCTTTCCAAATGTCTCAATGAGACTTCAATACTCCCTACACACGCCTCAGGTACATTGCGCCCATTCCAAATAACTCTGTATATAAAAACGGCAGATATAATCTGGACCCTTTCGAAAAATGCGCAGACGATGAGCTCTGGAAGGCGATAGAGCGCGTAGAGCTGAAACACAGCGGCGTTGCGCTCGACACTGTGATCAGTGAAAGTGGGGCCAATTTCAGCGCTGGCCAAAGACAGTTGATTTGTCTGGCACGAGCGATAGTTAGGTAAGTTGCTTACCCTAATCTACAACGCTTTCATCGCTTGCTGTTTAAAGGAATAACAAAATTCTGATAATGGACGAGGCGACCGCCAATGTGGATCAACACACCGACTCCCTGATCCAAACCACCATCCGGCAGGCCTTCAAGGATTGCACAGTTATAACGATAGCGCATCGGTAAGACGGATTTCATGTGCGCTTTGGAGCGAGTTAAGAGCTCTTTTTGCAGCATTAACACGATAATCGACTGCGATCGAGTTCTGGTGATGGATCATGGCCAGGCGGTGGAATTTGGGCCGCCCCACGAGCTCCTGGGGCAGAAAGATGGACATTTTGCTCAAATGGTTGAACAAACCGGGCCGACCATGTCCTCCAAGCTACGCAAACAGGCCAAAGAGAGCTACAATCAGAAGAGGGCCGTGGAGAGACAAAAGAGCGATTAGCTGACTTAATTTTTTTAGGCTTCATTCGGAACATTCCCAGACCATAACACCGACTGACTATTTACTTGATTTCAAATGTTTTACATACTATTTTTCTGGTTTCTGATGAAGCCTTGCAAGGAATACTTAATATTTGCAAATAAAAAGGTTGTTTTTGTAAATAGTTGATTCATTACGTTTGAATTTGGCTATAAATGAGTCATCCAGCACGTTGACGCCGAATCACGTGAATATCACGTCATTTTTGTCTGCGTGGTAGAACTCAGGCAGTCAAACGTGAATTAAACGTCATGAAAATGGCCCGAATATGACGTCTACACGACGAGAGATTAAAACATCAGTAGACGGTGAGTTAACTAACTAAAAAGGACGCGATTTCCACCTTCATTTGCTAACTTTGAGACTAAGTGAAGATAAATGAGAACTAAGAAAGACGTTATTTGTTGCTTTTGAAACTCGGCGTCTCTTTGAGATGCTTACAAGGTGGCTTTTATTACTATTTTTTTGGATCGTTTCTAATGCGTCGACAACGAAAAATTGTAGATAAGTTCTATATTGTTGAGGCGGATTCATTTTTTTACAAACTTCTTGTTTAAAGAATAAATAAATACTGAAACCATAAATAAATTACTGAAAAATGGGGATAGTGGTAACCCCATTGCCATTCCAAAGTTTTGTTGATAAAAATTGTCATTGTATTGAAAGTAAGTTGACTTTACACATATTGTTAAAAGTTGAATATTGATAATTGCCATAAAATTCAATGGAATAATTCCACAATTTTAACAAAAGAACAATCCACAAAAAAACGTAAAATTAAAGAAAGCGCGCTAATT